TCTAGCTAAGCTCGAAGATTGGCCAAGGCCTTCTCAAGCTCGCTAGAGGAACCCTGAGCTCCAGCAAGTTCGGCAGCGAGGTGAATCGAGCTGGAGGCCACCAAAATGAAGACCTGGAGGTCCGAAGGCAGGATATAAGACGCAAGAAAAATAGATGCAAAAGATGCGCAGATGATTGAGTACGAAGAAGATACCTCAACCGCGGCCCGAGCTGCTCGCTTTAGGGTCTCAGCAGAAGACATACTCCCAAGTTTAGCCTTGTCTGCAGGAGGAGTGACGGCCAGAGCTAAGGCCACCGGGTTCACGCTACCATTCAGAATGGAGGCAGATTCGGAGCGCATAGAAAGTCGGATATGGTGGCAGGGCGCCGGAGGACCCTCCTTCTTGCCGCCCCCAGAGGATTGAGTGTCAGAATCAGACTCAATCTCCACAACAGACGCATCGTCGTCAGCAACCTTCACTTTCTTCTTGTCCATGGGAGCAGGTTGGTTTGCCGGATTCTTCCCGGCCCCCCTTTTCTGAGGAGCCCGGAGGTCTGCAGCCGGCTGTTCAGGAGTCACAACCACGCCCCCATTGTGGTCCCCCCCCAATCCTTTCGATAGAGAGCCACCCTATGCGCCCCTGGTTTGCACTCGCCGGGCCAAGGATCCTGGGGTCGAACCCACCTTCGCCGACACTCTCTCCACTCGAGACGCCATCTTGCTACCCCCCGACACACAGAATAAAACATCATTAGAAGAGGCGAAAAAGTGCAAGAAACAAAGTCAAATACCAAACCAGACATAAGCCGACCTGGCTGATAAGTAAGCGTTACTATCCCATCCTCACCCACATAGTGCCCCATCAAGAATGATGCCCCATCAGCAATCATCTTGGCGGCCTCAGCATTCCCCTCCGTCAGAAAAGGCATCACCCACTTTCAGATCATCTCCCCCCCATTTATTGTCAAACTGTAACTTGTCATTTGCCGGAGTGACCCAGACCCACTTCTGCCTCCAACCTTTGAAGGAATCGGGGTAGGATTTGGCCTCAAATAGACGGTGGTCAGCCCGTTGGGAAATTGAAAGATTACCCGGGGATTCAGACCTGCCAGGCCGCACAGAATGAAAGAAATGGAGGAAAAGATCGATAAAGGGGTGGATTTTCAGATGAACGCATCGGGCGATGAACCCAGCAATAAACATGTGGGTAGTCGGGGAGAATTGGCCGGGAATAACACCATGATAGCTCATAACACTCAAATGCGCATTATGCAGAGGAAAACGGAGACCAACCTGAAGACTTGCTATATGGACCTCAAAATGAAGGGGAGAAGGGGGCTCAACGATGTTCTGACCGGGGGAGGGGCGAGAGCAGATGACGCTTGGGCCCACAAGAGTCACCGCCTGGTTAAACTCCGCATCAGAAAGAGCAATGGCTGGAACCCGTCGGGCGTGCTCGGAGGAAAGAAAAAAATGGGTCTCGACTCCCTGAGAACCTACCGGAATTAGAGGCCGGTTTGAGGTGGCCCCGTCATCCGGGAAAACGTGGTGAACGGGGACAGAACTTGAAGATGACATGGGGACTAACCCGAAGAGAAGTGAAGAGTACGGGAGAAGGTTCTTGCAACCTAGGGTTCCCCAACCGAAAGAGCAGAGCACTTGTGTGAAGAAAATTATGCGAAAGTTTATTCATGGAAGAAGACGAGTGATTAAATAGACCGAGAAATTAGGGTTTGGAACCGCATGGGAACCACGATAATAACACTGAGTGCTCTGAAGATAGAAGGGCGGATTGGAAAATGAGTCGGGCTGCAGGCTCATGTCCAGTCGGCGCATCAAATACGGAGCAACGCTACAGTCTCCTAAGAAAGATTCGAAATTCAAATAATTTAATAAACCGCTCCATTTTACTCCTTTAAAATCCAGCCATGCTGATTTTAGTGTTGGACTCGGGCCGGGTCGGGTCCGGTCGGGCCTAGGCCCGGTCGGGCTTTTGAGGGTTGGGATGAAGGCCCGAGACCGGCCCGGGTTAGCACCGGCCAAGGGTTGTAAATAATTTGTGCTCGATTCGCGATTCAAATTCGTATAAGATGATTCGAATTCGGAAAATTCAATTACAAATACAAATAAGAATATTAAATTTGATTCGAGTTGTTATCAAATACAAATAAGAATATCAGTGTATTCGATTCGAATATTAATCAAATATATTCGATTAATAATAAAGGTAATAATAATATCAATATTGATGATAATAATAACAACAACAACTCCATAATTACTTTTAAAAGATAGCAATACTCTCAAAGTGTAGCTCATATATACATTGGGATATACAATTTAGCATACAGATTCCAAGCCCATTTGTAATAAACCAAAATATAAATATAAATATGAATACAAATCAATTTTTTAGTTCAAAAGTCTTTCAATACAATACAAATAATTATGTATTTGATTTGAAGATTAAAACTAGAGTTGTTTGACTTTGATATATACAATTATCAACTTATTTCACAGAGTATAAGTATAATTTCTAATATGTGTGTGTTAGTGTTTATTTCAAAAAGTTTGAAATAAAACTATATTTATTAATCATAAAATTAATTCACTTTAGTATATTGTGCACCATCTAAAAATGCATTGATCCATTAAATTTAAATTCTAAAAACACATATTAAGTCCTAGGGCTGGGACCGGTTCGGTTCTTACTCAAAATAAGTGGAACCGTTATAAAAGTTTTAACTAATTAAATCGGTTCGGTTCCTATATAAAAAATCAAGAACCGTTATGGAACCGAACCGGTAGTAAACGGTTCGGTTCTTCCTTTTACCGGTTCCTAGAATAATTTTTTCTCATCTAATAAGAATTAACACATAATTTTAAACACGTCGAAAATTCAAAACACGAGTATTAAAATTTTATTTGAAGCTTTAATTACTTCAAACATCAAAGCTCAAACTTAACTAATTTACTTTGAACACTTAATAGAACAAAAGTGATTTAAATTTTCATGTAATAAATGAAACATTAAAAATCGTTGTAGTGTCAGAGCGATGAAGGTTACTCGTCATCATAGTAGCAACAATAGGACGCCTACTTCAAGTCTTTCAAAACATAAAAAAAAAGACATAAAGTTTGCATGTATAGATATAAAAAAACATTATTACATTCTATTGATTCATAATAAATCTACTAATTAGAAATATCATGAAAATAGTAAAATAAAATATGTGCAATCAACTACAAGTTATTTGAGTTATTTTATATTTATAAAATTTAAGTGATGGAACAAAACTTGATTTGTAGAAAGGAGTTTAATGTATTATATCAACATCATGTACAATATTTATTACTTCTTTTCCGTTGATTAAATTAGAACTGTTAGTTAAATATCTTATATTGTTTTATTATTATTGTTGTTGTGGCAGTGGTTATTATTATTGTTATTATTATTATTATTATTATTATTATTATTATTATTATTATTATTATTATTATTATTATTATTATTATTATTATTATTATTATTATTATTATTATTATTATTATTGTTACTACTACTGCCAATATTATTTTATTTTTTATTTTTTTAATAACGGTTCCTTAACGGTTCCATACACATATTTTTTATAGGAACCGGGAACCGAACCGTTATAACCTGCTTCGGTTCGGTTCCTACAAATGAGACATTAATTGTTAATGATTCGGTTCCTAGATGTTGTTAACGGTTCGGTTCCAATCGGTTCTACGGTTCCCGGTTCCAAAATCCCACCCCTATTAAGTCCTAGTATGCATTTATAGTATAAGAAAAGTTATTTTAAATTGATATTTGACTAATATTCAACCTATGCTCAAATCAATTCGATATTCGTATATGATTCGTTAACTATTCGTATTGTTAAACAAATACAAATACAAATCGAAATTAATATTCATTTCATATTTGAATTCGAATTCGTATTCGAAAAAATTAAACAAATACAAATACGAAATCTCATTATTCGACTCGATTCGGTTCGTTTACAACCCTGCCCACCACGTCCGGGTCGAGTCTATCTTATATTTTTTTCTATTCTACTTAACACCCGACCCCCCCCCACCCTACCCCCCCCAAAACACCCAGCCCAACTCGGGAAAAAGCCCAAAAAAATTTAAAAAAAAATACCCAAACCGGGCCCGGGACCGGGCGGGCCGGCTCACCATTTCCTACACGCGAGCCCGCTCCCGCTAAACCCACCGGGTCGGGTCGAAGCCCGGTGTCAGAACCGAAGGACCGGGCCAGGCGGCCCGACCCGAGTCCATGACTAACTGATTTTAAGGAGTAGGGGGGCTCGTGATGGTACTCGGACCATGGCCCAATTGCGGAATCCAGCCCATAACGAGATCAACCATCAACGGGATTAGCCTAATAAACAGGATTAGCCCATAAACGGGATCAAACCCTAAACGGGATTATGATAATAAGCCACTGGGCCTAATTAGGAACCAGGCCCACAATAGGAACCCAACACCAGGCCGGCCTGGACAACAGACCTCGAGCATGGGCGGAGTTCTAGTGAGGCCGGGATATTCGTAGGGCTTACATGGCTGGCTATCATTTGAGCATAGCTATCTGGCAGCAGACGGGACTCAACGGAAGAACGTGCACTTTAAGGAGGCAATCATTGTACAACGTCCAAAACTAGAATATACTCCCTCCGTCCCTTTTTATTTAGCCAAACACTATTTTTCAAGTCAAAGCTGTTCAACTTTGACCGATTATATATTTATACACGGTAATATTGATAATATGAAAATTATACGAAGTATGAAAAATGTTCTGTGTTAAAAATACTATCATAAAAGTATAAATTTATTAACTTTCACATAAATATATTAGTTAAAATAATGGATCAAAGTGTATCATCTTTGACTGGAAAAGTCAAAGTTGGCTAAATAAAAAGGGACGTAGGTAATACTTAATAGCATTTATTGTATCAGTTTCCTCCTAGAATACTAGCTCCTAGAGTGTATAAATACTTCATGTATATTTCCTATCAAGGAATCAGTTCTCCGGAATAATAAACACTGCCTTACGTTGCCCATATTTCATCTCATTCGTAGATATAGCTCTCATAATTGGAGTAAACTGCCTATTCAACATCAATAACAACAACATCCACATCTAAATTCCAAAAGAGTTTGGTGTCAATTAACATCAATCGACATATGACATTTAAACGAAATAAATAGAAAGGAAAAAAGGAGACAAACAAATTCAGATTAATAGTGACTAGTTCACATTTAAACGCAATAATATGCTCAATGTCTTCCACATGTATGTTCTCCCTCCACTTCACCTTCTCCATAAAACATGGTGCTGTACAAATATAGTAGTGACTAGTGAGCTCAGCTGATCTTGCTTAAATGTCGATGTTCTTTTTAGTGTCACCTCAACAGCCTAAATGCACGCCGCTAATCGAACTGCTGGCGCAAGACCATCTCTGTCTCGCTCTTCCATGAAGCGTGGGATGACTGACCCTTTATCCTCTTACTCTTCTCCTTGTCTTTGATGGTTGATCCCTTTTTCTTCCCCGCCTCAAAATTTATGTCCCTAAAAAAGCATGGATCTTACAACAAGGGATGACAGAACAACTAGTGAATGGAGTCTATTTGTTAAGTCTAAAACAGGAAATCTGGGTTCAAAGCTGAGTAGAAGAGTAAAATGGTATTTATAGTTATGTCAATAAAAATGCACAGATGCATCCCAGATATTACATCATGCTTTTAAAGGACAAAGTGCTTATTAGTCTTCGACTAGAAACTAACTAATCCATACTATTTATATATCTTGGTTACATTTAGTAAAATAATCGTCTACTGCTCTATACCTTTCCCAACAGAATAAGTTATGAAAAACACATATCACCTCCCCTTGGAATTCACTACAAATCCCCAAACCAAACAAGACCTCACATAAATATGCGCTGATAGTATTTGCATCACACCCCATTTTGATTTGCATCACAATGATGGATATATGTAGAACCATTAGAACGTGACATGAATGACGTCTAAGCATTTAGTGGATCTCATGTAGCAACCCACAGTATCAACTTTATTGTATTAGCACCCATGGGAAAGGTTCGAAATGGGAAGGAAATTTGGAAGGAAAGAAAAAAATTGGGGGGAAACTAAAAAATCGGTTCAAACCATGGGGGTAAATTGGTTCAAAATCATTAAATTAATGTTTGATACTTGTACAGAATCATTTTATTTATCATCTCTATTGTGTAAATGCTAATAAATCTAATAACCAATAATAACTTTGTGTAAATGTACAGAATCATTAAATTTTATGTAAAAAAAGTTTTTAAACTAATTTGAATTTCCCCTCAGTTGTCCAGGAATAACCAAATACTAAAAAACCGCTTTCCTTGTCACTGTTTTCCTTTGTCTTTACCTGTCTTTCCCGCATTCCAAGCATTCCAACCCAGCTGGTTGTGAGGCTACCGTGTCTAGTGGGAGGTCTCGAGTTCGAATCCCGCTAGGCACACAAGGGTATGAAACTCAATGGAGTGTGTTTCAACCCTGATTACTCCAGGCTCCCCCCAGACCCCCTGGAGTAAAAATGAAAAGGCAAAAGTACATACCTCAGAAGCTCTGATGCAACTTCTGCATTTGGGTTTGTCACACTAGGATTGACTCCTTGTGCAGTGGCTGCAGAAAGAATTCTTTGTGCAGTGGACGTCTTCGGGATGCTACCCTCAACATCACTCCTGACTCTCTCATGGACCCCAACTAAATGAGCTTTAGCCTCGACAATAGCACCTTGGGACATGATAAACAAAAATGAACGTTTGTGTACACTGAAAAAATGGATATAAACAAATGGAAGCAGAACACTATTAAGCATCTGTGACACACATCTGTCAAATAATATATGGTGTTCTATGTATAGCATAATCTTTACCCAAAAAAACAGAAAACATAAAACTGTTTCACGTATTCACAAATGTTCCTGGAAGATATTCATTTGCCAAATTGCCAACCACAAGAAAATCATTAAACCTTGCCGGTAAACAGAGCCTCAATGCAAAAAAACAAATGAAATATACAATTTTCTTCTATAGTTCTTTATTGCTACAATAATTGAAACATGATTTTGGGTTGGTCCATTCAACTGTGTTAATTTGTAAAAAGAAACATGTTAGGATATTTGAATTCTATTTGAATATATATAGCAATTTGCAAGCTGAAATAAGCTATATATGGTCCAGTTGCACGGACACATTTCTTAATTTGCAGAATTAGCTATAAAGAATGCAACTTGCCAAATAATATAAATCACGGCTAAATATAAATTGACATATGGCTCAAACTTAGTCACAAAGTAACTTCTTCATTAGAAAAGCAATTACTCAAAATGATTACCAGAAGGTAAATCTTTCTTATCTCTGGCGCTCTTACGGAGACCATGCCGGAAGCGTTGGTTGCCTGCATCACCCGCAGCTTCAGAATCTATACTGTTGTTTAAGAACTCCGGAGGTCCCGAAACCTGTGGAAGATTCATCAATAGGCATAAGAGCCGAAGATAAAACTTATTTGGATAACGTACGATTGACCAAGAGAATCAACTTGAAGAGAACTAACGCAGATATCACCTCGGAAAATGCGTCGAGAGCAGAGGGGAGGTAGGAAGACGAAGAAGGGGAGGGGTCTACAAGAGGCCTGTAACGGTTGTGTGAAACGACGTAGTTCTGGCCATCGTCTTCGTCCGCGGATTTGTCGTAGTCCGATTGTTCTTGTACATCTCCTTCGTCTTCCTCGGCGGAAGAGTAGCTTTGCAAAAGAGTCAAGCTCATTCCGATACAGTACAGGAGATCCGATGCCAGCTGCTCCAATTTTCAACCCGGAAACTTTGAGTTCCACTACCAGATTTGTAAATAGTACTGGGCCGGGGATCTATAGACTTTACATCCCATTTTTCAAAATTTTTAGATTTTGCGTCCTATATATAACATTTTGTGAAGAAAAATTCCTAGATGGGGTGCAAAGACAAAAACATTTTAGGGGAAATATGGTGAAAAGTCTAAAAGTTTTGAAAATGGGGTGCAAAATTCAATATCACCCAAAAAGCAGGGTGCAAAGTCAAAATATCCCATTTAGACAAGTGCTTTTTTTGGGTCAATAAAATCACACTAGAAATTCAACTCATTACCCCTGTTGAAAAATCCGTCAAATCCTATTATGTAATTAATCAGGCACATAACCTCTTTTATGAATAAATTTAACAATTTGAAAATCTTTTTTCCTAATACTTTGATTAATTATACAAGTAAATATGTCAAAATATCTAAATCATACAAAAATGTTAATCTTTTTTCTTTTATTTGACAATTGAATTTATTCATAAAAGAGGTTCTGTGTATGATTAATAAAAACATATGGGGGTTTGACACATTTTTCAAATCACATGAGTTAATGCGCCGAATTTCCATATCACAGGGGGTTTGATGCATTAAACCTCATTCTATCCCTTATAACTTTATCAATATTTTTTTAATTATTCACTAACTTTGTTATTTTCTCTTTTAAACAAAGAATTTGTGATTCCTTTTAATTCTCTTTTTATGTACAAACATCAAACACATGATTTTTACTTTACTATATTATCACCCGTGCGATGCACGGAATAGATTATAGTCAAAAGAAATACTCGTATCAATATAAGACAATGTGTGTATGCATGAAAAGGGATAAGAAAGCATATATGTTTGGAGAGACTAGAGTGTTTGTGGTTGCTTCTACTTCTAAAAAATAATTTTTTAAAGTGACTTTTGAAAAAGTGCTTAGTAATAAAAGTTGGTAAAGTGTGAGAAAAATCCTTCTAAAAAATTAAAAGTTGATAGTGCTTGATAAAAAAACTGATTTTTGTGTTACATAAAAAGTGAAAAACAGTTTGAAGCACATTTCCACCTGCTTTCAGCTTCAGCTTTTAAGTGCTTTATTTAAACACAAGTTGTCACTTGAAAACACTATTTTTAGCTTTTTCAGCCAAAAATCACTTTTTATTTTTATTTTTGCAAACACTCCCTAAAATAGATGGTGCATATTTTTGGAGAATTGATTTCTTTTCTCTCTATTTTCCTTTACTGCATATCTTTTATCTTTTTTTTTTTGTCTATGTCCTTACGCTATTTTGATATTTTCCTTTCTCATGTTTTTTTTATTCTTTTATATCTTTCAATTGGTCCAGCCCATCTGTATTATACACCCCAAATAATTGAAGTCCAAACCGTCTCATTTCTTTTTCAATCAGTCCAACCCTGCCCATTTTAATTGGTTCAAGTTAACCTACTCATGAACTCAACCCCTTAAAAACTCTCTCCATCTGCCGAATCAGTCTTACGCACCACAGAGCATCGATACGATCCATTACCTCCTAGAAATCCCTTGTTTGCTGTCTGTTCATAATGTTTCGTAAGAAAAAGAAAATAACCTAAAATAGCAGATCATCAAGCGGTTAGAAACCGATGAAAGAAGAAAGGGTTCAAAGGTGAGATTATTCCTGAATTACGATTATGTGAGATTATTATAAAAATGCCATTTTTTTTTGTTTGGAAAGAGAAATACTTAATTATCATTAATCAAATCGTTGGCCAAAGCCGAAACAATAAAAGGAGGAAAATCAGCTCAAAACTGCGAATCAGACAAAGAACAGGCCGCCTTAGCAAGCAAATGAGTTGGCTTGTTCGTTGATCGCCTCACATGACAACATGAAATGAACGAAAAAGAATTCGCCAAATCTCGTATGTCGTCTCGCAAAAGTCCCACCAAAGAATAGCTTGAGCCACTTAAGATTTCTGTAATTGCCCCCGCTGCATCCGACTCAACTTCAACCGAAGTAAAGTCATACTCTTTTAGCCAACTCAAAGCTTCCCGGATACTCACGAGCTCCGCTCCCAATGCTGTCAACACTCCTGGCCATGTTTTAGATGCCCCTGCCACAAACTGGCCGTCCGATTTCCGTAAGCACCATCCAAGCCCGCAACACTCTGCCCGCGTCGCCGCATCCACGTTTAGCTTCCGCCGGCCTAGATCCGCCCTCCTCCAGGAAACTCGTCCCAGCTGAGGTGTATGCGGCCTTCTCCCCTTGGCGACCTACTGCTGCGCCTGCTGCCATCCATCAACAGCAGCTCGGCCCCGGTTGATTAACTGTTGCAACGAAGAAGAAACCCCCTGCCAGACCCTTTGATTCCTCTCAGTCCATAGCAACCAGCAGCCCCAAACAAGCTGCTCGAAGCCCGTCTTCTTCTTACACCGGAACTCCTCATAGAACTGATCCACAATAGCCATCCCTTCCGTCGATCTCCACTGCCACCGAAGCTCTGCCCACAGATCCTTCGCAAAAGGACAAAGTCTGAACAAATGCTCAAGTGACTCCGGTGCCGCTCCACACAACCCGCAAAGCCCCGAACACTCCACTCTGCGAACCTGCAAGTTAAGTCTCGATGGAAGACAACCGCTACAGACTAGCCAAAAAAACATTTTAATTTTAGGTGGAATATTAAACTTCCACATATCATTCCAGATCATCCTCGGCTGAATGTCTAGCTCCCCCACCAACCGCTTATAACAACTCCGGATCGAGAAATGCCCACTTTCCTCCCATCTCCAGCAAATCGAATCCGCTATAGGAGACCTCTTCAATGGAATTCCCTTTATAAGAACTACGTCCCATTCATAAAAAATGTCATCAATGATATCTCTATCCCACTCTCGGCGATCTGTGCAAAGAAGATTAGCCACCACTGCCTTCGTCAATTCCTCAAACTTTTCAGACGTGATTCTAGGATTCTCCTTGTTAGGTAGCCTAGATTCCTCCCAAATATTTATAGAATGTCCATCCCCCACCCTCCAATACTACTCATCGCGTATAACATCTTGTGTATGAAGCATACTCCGCCAAATAAAAGACGGATTGCTTTCAGGATTAGCCGACAAAAAACTCCCTCCAGGGTAGTAACGAGCTTGAAAAACTCTCGCCACAAGCGAGTCAGGATTTGTAAAAATTCTCCAAGCCTGCTTAGCCAGCATAGCAGTATTAAAATCTCGAAGTCTTCGGAAACCCAAACCCCCTGCTTTTTTAGGAACGCATAGGCCTGCCCACTCCTTCCAGTGAATTCCCTTACCCGCTTTTCCTTTCCACCAATAAGCATTCATAATATTCTCAATCTCCCGGCACAGGTCAACAGGTAAAAGAAAAACGTTCATGGAATAAGTAGGCATGGCCTGAATGTCCGCCTTCAACAAAACTTCCCTCCCCGCTTTAGATAGAAATTTATTATTCCAATTATTAATGCGGTTAACTATTCTCAGTCTGAGATAGCTTAAAATATTTCTCCGGTTCCGCCCTACTAGAGCCGGTAACCCCAGATATTTCTCATTCTCCCCAGCCAGACCAACTCCAAGTAGATCAATAAGCCCCTCACGACAATCCAAATTCACATTAGAGCTAAAGAACACCTTCGATTTATGAAAATTAATTACCTGACCAGATGCTTCCTCATAGTCAGCCAGGATCCCCTTCACCAAGGAAGCCTCGTCATGATTAGCTCGAAAAAAAAGTAGGCTATCATCTGCAAAAGAAGGTGAGAAATCATGGGAGCCCTCCGAGCAATAGAGACTCCATGTAACCGGCCACCGGTGGGCGTAGCTCAACTGGTAGCGAGGGAGTGCCACAAGGGTTATCACCCGGGTTCGAATCCCAGCAACTGCATTGAATGGTTAAACAACGGCCTTTGCAAGTACCGGGGACAGGGTCCCACTCTCTATCTGTCAGATTGGGATTATAGTCCAATTTACATCCTCCCAACATGCCGTCCGGTCGGTGTTGGGGGGCCCTCAGGGATGGGGTGTGATGTGAGTTTTCTCGCACTTAAAATAGATCGTAATATAGTGGTGTAAGTACGAGTATCGTCTCCACAGGGACGGACAAAAGGGAATCAAGAATTAATTAAATTCAACGATTAAAAGAAATAAATAAAATAAATGCGTCGTGCGAGATATGATTGAAATGGAAAATTAAACTAATGCTACTGAACAATAAAATAAAAGCTTGGGTTCTTCTCAATTAACGACAAAGGGAACATGGATTGATTCTGGGGTAACCATATTTCTGGCAGATCAGGCCTAATTACATGAAATTAATTCAATTGAGCCTAGCTAATCATTACTAAGTTCTTCCCGCTTTCGCGGCGTAGAGTACAATAATTTAGGGGACTAGGCTGATCTCTCATGCGACAGGATCCTAAATTATTGCCAAGACGAGTGAGCTTACGGCCCCTTAATCGCTACTAATCTCTTAGCGAACAATTAAGTGTGTGTGAATGTGTCCTAGAACAAATTAGATCTCTCTTAATTCATTCTAGATGCAATTGTAATTCTAGTGGCCATCTAGGTTACAAGAGATATCAATTAAATTATTGTGACACAAATTAAACGGCATTCATGCAATTAACCCATCAAGAATCTAGCCATACATCATGATCAACCCCTTCATCAATCCCAAATCCCTAATTAAACTACTCACAACTTATAATTGAAGAATCAACAGAATTGGGATGAATAGAAATAATTGTCATTAATTAAAAAGATGGAACTTACAAAGAATCCCAAAAGATTGATGAACAAGGCTGAAAATCTCTCAAAATTTCGTGCTAGACACTCTCTCTAAGCTCCCCCCTTGAAAACGGGGGTTTACAGGTTGTTTAAATAGAAAAATCGGGTGAAATTTGAGCTGAATTGGGATTTCCGGAGGCAGGCACGGTGCCAGGCACGATCGTGCCTTGGATCGTGCCTCCGCAGCAAAAACGCGCATTTTGGGCAGGCACGATCGTGCCTCCCTCCAGGCACGATCGTGCCTGGCCGGCAGTAACTCCGTGGTGCTTTTCTCTTCACGCATGATCGTGCCTG